TCTTACTCTTTAGTTTGACCAGCAGGTCTCAACTCAGCCATAAGCTGACTCTTACCCATAAGCTTTCGACCTGCTCGTGGCTATTCTTCAGGGACAGCTCTTCACACTGTATTGATTTCTTTATGTAGAGGGCAACACCTCCACCCCTCCTTCCTTGCCTGTCTCTTCTGAAGAGCCTGTAGCCATCAATAGCCACATTCCAGTCGTGGGATTCGTCCCACCAGGTTTCGGTTATGACAATCAATCATATGGCAATCAATAATATCTTTATCGATGATCTGGATGAGGGGATTGAGTGCACCCTCAGTAAGTTTGCAGGTGACACCAAGTTGGGTGGGAGTGTTGGAGACCAATTGTATGAGGTTCAACAAGGCTAAGTGCCATTTGGGTCACAACAACCCCATGCAAAGCTACAGGCTTGGGGAAGAGTGGCTGGAAAGCTGCCTGGTGGAAAAGGACCTGGGAGTGTTGGTCAACAGCCTGCTGAATAAGAGCAATAGCTGGCTGAATATGAGCCAGCAGTGTGCCCAGGTGGCCAAGAAGGCCAAAAGCATCCTGGTTTATATCAGAAATAGTGTGGCCAGCAGGACTAGGGAAATGATTGTCTCCCTGTACTTGGCACTGGTGAGGCCGCACCTGGAATACTGTGTCCCATTTTGGGCTCCTCACTACAAGAAGGACATTGAGGTACTGGAGTGTGTCCAAAGAAAGGCAACAAATCTGCTGAAGGGTCTGGAGCACAGGTCTTATGAGGAGCAGCTGAGGGAGCTGGGGTTATTTAGCCTGGAGGAAAGGAGGCTGAGGGGAGACCTTATTGCTCTCTATAGCTACCTGAAAGGAGGTTGTAGCGAGGTGGGTGTTGGTCTTTTCTCCCAAGTACCAAGCAATAGGACAAGAGGAAATGGCCTCAAGTTGCACCAGGGGAGGTTTAGATTGGAGATTAGGAAAGACTTCTTCACAGAAAGGGTTGTCAAGCATTGGATCAGGCTGCCCAGGGAAGTGGTTGAGTCCCCATCCCTGGAGGTATTTAAAAGATGTGTAGAGGTGGTGCTTAGGGACACGGTTTAGTGGTGGACTTGGCAGTGCTAGGTTAACGGTTGGATGTGATGATCTTAAAGGTCTTTTTCAATATAAAAGATTCTGTGATTCTCAATAGTACAGTCGAGTTTCTGGGAAAACTTCAAATAGGAAAAGATCCAGCTCCCTGGTTTCATGTCATTCAGGAACTTCTAGCCTCATTAAGGGGGCTGGAAGTTGTTGCAGTGCCTGAGTTTTTCTGGATGAAATATATAGATCCCTGCTAGATCTCTTAGACTGAACAAAGTCCGTAATTTTTCCCATCTCCTGGAGTGAGTGCTGAATTACTAACCATTTATCATCTTCTCCTTCAGTGATAGAAGAAGAAGGTGGTTATTGTAACAAATAAGTTATAAAGGTGGTGGCATCCATGGAAATCAGATGCAGTTGGTCTTTAACCAAACCTGGGCTGATAATTCACTTTAGGAGTCGTCATGGTCTGCCATGCAGGAGTCTTGAAACTTTCATGTCTTGACTAGGGAAAAACAGACTTTCCAAGGTGTGTTCATTTCATAGTGAATCATTCATCTTTTTAAATTAAAATCTTGAGAGCTTCTATCTGAAACTACTGAATTAAAAAGCTCTGCTGCTTTCTTAAACATGGTGCATGGAGCACTTATTTCAGTCTTAGCACTTGCACTTTAAATCTGCGAAAACGAAGTTCACTATCTTCTGATCTGTATTTGAGAAGTGGATAGTGACCATAAATGGGCAAAATACTTCAATGAGCTGTCCAACTGCAGCTTTTTTTTTTTCCCAAAAGGAAATGAATGCAGAGAATGTATTAATTGTTTGGGACTGTCCACGTGACAGCCTTATCTTCTCAGGCAAGGCCTTTTAAAAATAGGGTATGTGTTAAATATGATGGAGTTCTTAAAAACAACATCTTTAATAAACCTCTTACTAGAAAATGAAGTGCCAAATTAAGTTAAAAATGCAGAGTTTTCAGGAGAAAATTCCTTGTTAATATCTGAATTCGTGCTTTCATAGTTTGGAAAAACTTGGGTTAAAGCAGTTGGAAAGTTTTAAGATGAACTGATGTTACGAGCAAGCTGTACTTCGCTAAATCTTTCACTGGGAACTATGTTCTGAACTTGAGAGTACTTGCATGTGCTCAAATTATATACCTGGTAGGTGAATTGAGAGTTACCATTCTACATGTTCAAAGAACATAAGGATCGCCATGAGATCTCTGTGCTGCCACTTCTGTGGGTTGCGAAGTATTCAAGCAGAGTGCGAGCTGTATCTGAAACACGTAAAAGCATCAGCCCGACTGGCCTAAACATAGGAGAGAAATACTGAATGCAAGAACTTTCCTTACTTAAAGCAATGTGTCTGTTGGGCTGTGCTGTCACTGCCATCATTAAAGTTCTTTGCTGTACCGCTGCAGAGTGCTTGCATGCAAGTATAAAAAAAGGCATTTGTTGTCTGCTCAGGCATCCAAACAATCTTGTAACTCTTACACATTCTTTCCTGTTAAGTAACTTGATCCACCTTCTATCATTATACTGCTTATTTAAATTTGGATACTTGGCAAAGCGGCATCTTGTGTGCGTGTGTAGCGCACAGAACGTGTTAGGTGATCCACAAGTTTCCAGTAGCAAATTAGGTAATGTGGTGGGTTCTCTAAGTGTAAGCTGTGCGACTGTGGTAGACTTTTTTCCTGCTTGTTGACTGTATCAAAACTAAACAGCACAAGTAATTCCAGGGTTGATCTCAAGTAAGAATTATTTTAAGAACCGAATTTTATTTTATTTTATTTTATCTTGCCTATCTAAAAATTTCTCTTTAGGCTGGTTTAGTGGTAGTCTCCGGCTTTTCCTTCAGCAGGGGTGTGGGATCTCCCCAATATATGGCATGAGGTTGAATGTCAAGAGTAAGAGAAGTGCGTTGCTCTGTAGTAGTTCTTTAGAAACAAACCTAATTGGGTCCTGACCAGTCACCTGGAAAAAAAATATAGGCCAGGCAGAGTCTTCCTCCTATTTGTCTCCTGAAAGCAAACCTTTACTATATGCAATTCTTTAATGGGTTTTTGGTTTGTTCCTCATGTTTTCTGTTGCTGTAAGCTTTGGCTACACTCATGAACCTGTAGAGAGCAGCAGAAACGTGAAAACACTAGCTGCCAGGGGTGACAGCTTGAAGCTCCAAAAGCTGCTTTCGCTGGGTCTTTCTTTGCCAGGCCCTGTGTTCCAGGTTTCCTGCTACTGGGCTTGTGTTGTGTTAGCCCAGACTTGCAGCAGAATGAATCGGAGTTGATGGCAGATGCTTATTACTGCCTGCTGAGAACCCGACTTTGTGTTTTCTAAACTGTATTTTTAGAAGTACACTAAGTGCAGGTAGATTATAGAAATGCTTAGCAATTTGGCTGTTTTTCTTTCCCCTTTGTGATAGCATTTCTCTTGGCTACAAATCCTCCTCATTTCTGTAAAAAAATGAAGATGGTCGGTATTCCCTCAGCACTAAGTCAGCCGATGGAGACAAATTCTTCTGTTCTAGTTTCTAAATATCTCTAGCATAAACAAAGTCAACAAATTGCTTGTGTGACTGCATAAATTGAATCACTCTGAGCTGGTCTTTTATCTCTTTATTGGAAAGATGCATTTTTAATGGTAAAAACTGTTAAGTGGAGCACTGTCACCAGCATGTGAAGAAGCAGACTGCTGTAGATTCAGAAGTACAAAAGGTCTGGATGATCAGTGCTGCACTAACTGGATGGCAGTAAAAACATTTATAGCAGTTAAAAGAAAACAATTTTTTTCCTTCTCCCACCCTTCTTTCTGGCTGAGAATAGTTACTGATAGCTGCATTTTGGCTGGCATTTGAGTGTGTTTTTGTGTAAGATAAGAACTTCACCTCACTGTCAAATGCCTGATACGTAGCAGGATGTGATATGCAGCTTATTCTGCCTCTGGTCATGTTTCACTACTGTGGCTGGGTTCTTCTGTCTTGTGGACATGCAACTTAACGCTGACTGAGTCACGTCCGATTGCTCGTGATTTTTTCTCACATTGCGCTGGTTTCTAATTGATAGATGTCAGACTCTTTCAGTAATTAGCAAAGTACAGGGTGTTGATTTCTGGGCAGTATCCTGTTCGCCTTTTGTTCGTTTTTAAGTATACATAACTAGATCATGAGTGGGCCTCGTTATTCAAATCTGAGGCAGCGCAGGTGCTTCCAGCCCGAAGTCAGGAAATACTTGGCTTTTGAAGCATAACAGTTGCTGCGCAGAGCTCTGGCTGTGCAGTGATATCACGAACCAAGCCTGAGGAAATGCTGCGACAGCACTGCCAGCCCTTTGTGAGAGGGGGATCTTTCTGCACTCACTTAGGAGCAGATCCTGGGATGAGTCCTCGTGTTCATGACACTAAAGTTTGGTGACAGTTTTGCTTGGACATGCCTGTGCTTCTGAACTGGAGCCCACAGCAGAAGGTACTGACTGCTCCTAACGTGAGTGTGTGAAGTTCGTTCATCTCGCGTCTCTTTGTATGGTGGAAGGGATCTGACGCTGCACCTCGTGTGGTGATGGAGTGAGAGGGGCTGAGCTTCTTCCTTGCGTTGAAAATAATTGTCTTGCTAGAACTGCTGTCATTAAGTAGCCAGATTTGTTAGGCATTTTTGGTAGATTAGTACTTCGCAGTCATGCTAAATGTTTATAAGCCTTATGGTATGAAGAGGGACGTTGCTTTGTTAATAAATTCCAGACTGAAATTTTCCATGTGGAAGCTAGAAACAAACTAACAAGAGCTGCAGCTTCTCTGCACCGTGAAATTCTGTCTAGCTGTGGAAATAATGATATACAAGTGAATTTTGTTCTTCTTAGCAATATCCATGGTGTTAAAGTTCTCTGTTTGGGTTAAAATTGAAAGCACCGCTCGGTAATTACTGTGGGATGCATTTGAATATTATCCCTCTGGCAAAAAGGGGAGCTCCACCTTTGTTCACTGGAGGCTGTTGTAAATTCAAAGAGAGTATATTTTTTTTTTTTTTTTTTTTAATGCTTCAACTTCTGTCACCGCTATTCAAGAAAGTGTGCGGTATCACCATGGAGATACTCTGCCTATTCTGGGGTTGTGACAAACTGTTCTAGTGTTACGCTGCAGCACGCATGATTTAGTAGGCTTGATAGACTCTCTGTTTTGCAACTTCAAGATACTGGTAATAAAAACCTCATAACTGAAGTTCTGTTTTGGGGTTTTAAGGCAGGATTGATAAAGTTGGAATTAATTTTAACAAAAACCTAGTTGCATGACATGAGAAAAGTTTGAATTTGACACTAATTATTTTTCTGTAGTCCTCTCTTTGGTTTTAATCAAGTTAGATAAAAGCTTGCATCAGTTACATCAGTTAAACTGATGTTTCCAACATGAAAATATGTTTCTGCATTGAACACAGTGAAGTTTCTTGATGTGTAGTAGAATAGTTCTTGGCAGTACTATTCATATGCACTTTGAACAGTGTACTATGTATGCACCAGAAAGGTGTTTGCTCTCCGTTACTTATTGGCCCTGTTGTAGGTCTAGTCACATGGGACAGAACTGGATGGAGCCCATGAACTGCAGAGCTGGAACTAGCAGATCTAGGGTATCAATATATCTGTCTTCTAGCCAGGGCAAAGTGCTGCAGCCTTATTCTACACTAGCTGGCCAAATGGGTGATGTGCTGCAGTAGCTCATAAGGTCTATAACCAAGGTCATGGGGCAGGTGGGGCGAAGGGGGTGTAAGGTGCAAATAGAATGGATTAGGGGACCATTTGGCTAAAATTGATGGTGTCATTAGTTTCAGCTTACCAAAACTCTACTGTCTGTAGTAAACAGGTTGTGACAGTATAACACCTATCACGCTTTACTACTTACATTGTATATTCAGAGCTGAATCTTATTGTAGGTCATGCAGAACTCGACCAGTGCCATCTGTTCGGATTTGAGTACAGCTAACTTTGCTTATTGAATTGCCACGTGTTGAATCAGATCTAATTGGTTGAAGAGTGATTCAAACAATCTTAGGCTATTCAAATATGAATAATAACAAATTCAATTTGGATTCCCAAGTGGGTTTTTTTCTCTTTAATTAGGCTTATTAGATCGATCCTGTTTCCCTGGAGTGAAATGTTGCCTCTCCAGTGTCATTATGAAGCTCTTCTTACTTGCCTCTTAACTCGGTCTTGTATATTTGGTTTTGGTAGTTTGGGGTTTTTTTGTTGTTTGGTTTTTTCCTTGTCAACCAGTTTTTGGCATGTTCCTCACACTGAGGAGCAGAACTAGTATCACAGGTCTAGTCTTGTACTTATGGTGCTCACTGTCCATCCTTGTCTTTTTGGCCTCTTGCATTTGTGGGAGTTTTGGAACAGGCCCTGAAGAAAGATCTCTGCTCTTCTCAGTTCTCTTGGCTCTATTCAAAGATTTAGGAGTTACTATGAGCACTGTTTCAAAGTTCACGTGCTACTGTTGTCTCCTGATAGGTGTGTGCAGCTCGTGACATCCTGGAGCGGAGGAAAGCTCATCTGAAGCTCTCGCATCCATTTTGTTTGGTATCAATTTATTAATACTTGGGTGTTAATAAAATAACTCGCTGAACAGAGTTCAGTGTGACTGTAGCTGTTTAACCATGAGGTCACTGTTGTATTAGAGACAGCTTTGTGTGCTGTTCCAACACATTTGAGTAAGCATGTTGTTTAGTCCCTTCATCTAGATAATATACCATATCTATCTAGTTCTTTGTGAAGCTTGTCAGGATTTTTGTTTGTGTTTCTGATAGCTTTTCAGTTTTTTGCCTAGTGATGTCTGTGCTCCTGAGTTTTAGCTCTTAAGGACCTTGCACCTTCTGTTTTGGGAGCTTATCCTCTTCTCTTCACCATTTAAAGTGAGAAATTAATAGACTTTTTACATTTTATGGTCAATAAATACAATATCTTGGACAAGTAACATTTAGAATGTCAGTTTAAGGTGGTTATAATGTTGATTTGTATAGACTGGGAATATGTCTCTCTCTCTAACAAGCTCATGTTGTCCTAACACTGTGCTGGTTTTAATTTTTTTTTTTTTTTTTTTTTTTGGTAACTGCCTTGTTCCACTTCATGTAATAGTCTGCTACTCCTCAACAGTTTAGGGAAACTTCATGACTAATACATTTAGGCATGGCCTGCATTATGCTTCTGGTTTCTCCTTCTGCTTTGAGAACTGCTGTCCTGTCACAGCACCATCATCTCCTACCTTTCTGCCTGAGAAGCCCTCTGCAACTCCTTTTGGAATGCAGTCATTTTCTCCTTCTTTCCCAGCAATATCTGGAAAAGGTGATAGGCCCCTAGACAGTGGGACTGGGGAGAGGCAAAGCATGTGGGAGAATTAACTCTTCTTGCATTGTTGTGGCACTAGCACCACTGGGTTTGTTCGGGCTGGAAATGTTCCTCTCACCTCTCACTCTGCAAATACACTACCTATCCCCCTCTACTCAAGTCTCCCTCTTTGACATAGCTCTCTTCAAGGCTTGATGACAAAAATTCCGAGTATGTTAAATAGATTAATAGCTTAACTATTTTAAGGATTCATTTTCTTTATATACAGGTGAATGCTGAAAAACTATGTGATAACTTATTTAAGCTTTTTGTTTTGCTCTACTGTAACAGCTGGTAGTGTACATCCAGGAAGATCTGCCATGGCCCTGTGGGTTTCAGGAATAAGAATCCCATTTCTCCCCTTTGGCTGCTTAATTTCATGAGACTGCTCCAGGGAAATACTAGAACTTGGAAACACTTTGAATGTTTCAGGAGCCTGTCTTAATATTACTAAACTGATTTTTAAAAATAGTTAAGCAGTTTCATCCTGTTAATTCAGTATTCTGCTTACTGTGTTGTCTAACTTTGCCCTGCAATTTCAACACTAACAACTAATAAGCTAATACCCAAATCCAAAAAAGTTACACAACTTTGATGGCGAAACTTTTGTGACTGGGGCTTCTTGATATACAGAGGAGCAGAACGTTAAAAAACAATGATATATGCCCAAGAAATGTGTAAAAAGCCACATTAGGGTGGTTGCGATGCTTGATAATTGTGTAACTTTTCCTGTACCTTGCATTTCAGGAAAATATAGATACAAACTCTTGTTTAGACTCCACTTGATCCCACTTACAGGTTTTTTCCCAAAGTCAGAACATTAAATGAAAATATTGTAATCTGATCAGGTACATTTTGGATGGCGGTGGTGCTTGGTTCTTGTTAGGGTAGTATTGCTCAGGAAGTGGAGAGGGTCAGGTCTAACAGTATAAGCTGGCACATCATCAATCATTGGGCACATCGTCATTGGCATACAGTTATTCCTGTATACTAAAGACCAGTAAAATCCATATGTATGACTAATTGCCTAGCAATGTTAGTATTGGTCTTGCATCTTTATACGTGAAGCTGTTTTTCACACTGTACTATCTAGAGAATCCATGAAACAACCAACGAGCGTCTGGAACTAGTTCTGGACTGTCTGACAGATTTCTTATCCATTGTGATATCCCTGTATTACATTGTTTTCCTCATCAGTATATAAGAAAAATATTCGTAAATACAGAGATTAAATGGGTCTCAATTTTTCACCTTGATTTATCACTTTAATTCTGTGGATAGGAAGAAAAATAGGAAAAAAGTGAATACTAATGAGGGTGCACACTAAAAAATAACATCGCTTGTAAAAAAGGTTATCTGAACAAAGCAGGGAATAAGGATTGGTTGGGCAGTATGAGCTGAATCTAATGCTAGGATCCCCCTGTGCTGAAAGGGAAATACTGTAGCATATGTGGTAGGTCGTAGCAAAAGCTATAAAGGGAGCAGGGATTGTGAAATAGTGATTGTGACTCAAATACTAGTGACTGAAGAGTATGCACGATCTGGAAAAGATGGCAATAAAACCAAGTGATAAATGGCAGGATGGTAGGGTGTTTTTTTAAATAGAATTGTAATTACTTAAAACGCTGTGTTTTTGCTTGTGGGGGAGATCTCTGAGAGAGGAGGGGATGGATGGGGAATCCTATTGTGGGAGAGCTGGTAGTGTCTTACCCTCAGCCTGTTTGGACGCTCGCTGGCAGGGGAGGGTGGATAGGATGTGTTAGGAGGCTAATGGGTATTACTAAAAAGACTTCAGAATTTCTTCTCCAGTCTTTCATGTCAGAAGAGATGAGCAAGTGGCAGAACCTAGTTATTGGAGTGGAAGTGATGGTACACTTTTTTAAAAATCCAAATTGCCAATTAAACAGCTGACATTGTTTATTCTAGTTGATTGTGTATAAAATTTATGCATTTTGAATAGAATTATAATTTGTAATTTGAATGGAAATGTGAGTTGTCCTGTAACAGGTTCTGGATTCTAAAAAAGGAAATGTTAATTAAAAGACAGCTAGCTTGTGAGTTTTGCTAAAATAGAGAGCTAAGGGATTTAAACTCTAGAGCTTCTTTAAGCACAGGCCACAGAAAGAATAAGAGGACTGATCAGTGGAAAAAGAACTGCATCTTGGAATATGAACTGGCATGTATAAAGTGAGAATTGTCCATGTCCAGCTGAGCTGGCATGGCTGAGAAGAAGCACACCTTGGGCAATGGTAAAGCAGCCTGGTAGTCAGAATGAGTGAAGATTAAATACACTCTAACATCTGTGTCATATCAAGACTAACTTTTGACCTCACCGAAAACTGAGATGATGATGACATCTATAGGGATCGAAAGCCAAAGGGTCAGTAGATCTTAGGGTAATTGAACTTCATTTTACAATAAATGAACGGGAAGCAGATTTGAGTTGAGTGCCCAGTGGAGGAGGAATGTGTAATGGGAGATGGGAATTAAGACAAGGTAATTTTCCACTGTGACTTGCAAAAGTATTGGCATAGGAAATTACTGCCTCATTAGCAAGTTTCAACTATCATGTGACTGAAAGAAAAAAAAATACTGTAGGGAGCATGGATTATTTACTAAGGTGTGACTTCTCAGTTATCTTTTTAATAGAAAAAATACTTTGAAACAAATTATCAAATATTATAGGTATGGTGGGAAGCTGTATGGAATACAAAAGCTGTTGATTGATTGGTTTGGATTAGGTGAGTGTTGAGAACCCATTTCTCTTTTGAAGAAAATCAGATAGATATCCTCTCTTGATCTCATTGTCACTAGTAACTTCCCCAATGCAAGTAACATGATGCCATTCATTATCCTTCCAGAGAAGATGAGACCTGGTGAGAAAGAGGTTTGGTTAAGCAGAGATAGGTACTGTTGAAAGAGCAACTAGAATCACGCTGATCCGCAGTCAGTAGAGTGGGACAAGTCCTTGTTTTCTTTAGCGAAGGCAAAATGAAAAAGGAATGTGCTTATTAAATATGCTGATACGGAAGGCAGACGTCCTCCTAAGATGATGGGGATAAAATGAAGGAAGAACCAGGTGGACTTAAAAGACTGGGTGATACAGGGCTGAAATCACGAGTTTCTACTGGAGATGTGCAGTTTGGCCTTACAGGGTGTAGTAGGAATCTCTAGGTAAGAATGATGGAGAAGAGAGATTTGGGGTTGCTTCTTAATTGCAGCAGGGAAGTGTGAGCTTAAAGCAAGCTATGTCATAGACTGGATGGGGTGAGGTTTTTGTAGTAGAAATAGTAGAAAATAAAGGAGAGCTAATGCAATTGTACATGGTGCTTTGGTAAAATTTCCATACACTTGCTGCCTGTATTCCAAAACTGTCAGTTGAAACTAACTGATGGGGATTGCTGGTCTCCTTTTTCATTCACAGAACTGTTTCCACAACTGTCCTAAGAATGGCATATCTGGCTCTGCAAAATGAAAACAAAGAAACAGTGATGGCCCTATGCTAAATATATCAGCAAGAGATACTGATGTGGGAAGAGGGTTACAGAAAAGAGAAGACAGTCTCAGTTTTAGGTTTTTTTTTTTAAAAAAAAAAAATTGTCAGTAGACCTTCTGGTATTTTAAAACCTTTATGTTCTGAAAGTAAAAAATTTAGAAATTTTTTGCTTTGCTTCCACTGCATAAATTGTCTATACAGAGTTTAGGATTTACTGGTTTCATATTGTCAGCCAAGAAGCTAGTGGCACTCTACTGAAGAAATAACTTGTGGAAATACTTATATTAACAAATGTTTGACATATCGCTGCCTGTGTTATCTCATTTGTGGCTACTAAACAGACCTTTCAAACTGTCCCTTAGGTTCCTGATGTCATCAGCAGCATAAGACAAGTCTCCAAAGCAGCTCTGAAAGAAGATGCCAAACCAAGTAAGGATAGTGAAGATGCCTTCTATGACTCTCAAAAATTTGAGGTTTTGTACTGTGGAAAGGTGACGGTGGCTCACAAGAAAGCTCCCTCCACGCTAATTGATGATTGCATTGAAAAATTCAGCCTTCATGAGCGCCACCGCCTGAAACTATTAAATGAGCAACGGAATAATGAGTCAAGTTTTGACTTACCCCTGTGTGAAGGAAATGCGCCATCTTCTCCATTGGATAGCCCATTTGAGGAGCTGGACAGCCCAGATAACACCACAGGGCATGCTGCAATGTTTACAATCGGCAGCCAGACCAACTTGACCAACCTGGCCAACACTCGTGGCTCCTTTCCAGAGCGAATTTTAGAGGACACTGGCTTTGACGAGCAGCAAGAGTTTCGCTCCCGGTGCAGCAGTGTCACTGCAGTTATGCAAAGAAAGGTTCATGACGCAAACTTGAAAATACAGCCACGCCGAAGACATGCAAGTGCACCCAGTCATGTTCAGCCCTCTGATTCTGAGAAGAACAGGACAATGTTGTTCCAGGTGTGTGCTATATGAGCAATTTCATGTCGGTTTTGCACTGTGTCTTCCCCTGTGCGGTTTGAAGCCAAGGCAAGTTTTGCAAGATAAGTAGTATGGATCCAGTATGGTTTCATGATTTGTCATAAATATTTATGTATCTGTTCATAAATGGTTGGAACATAGGTAGCTGAATTTTCTTAAGGAATTAACCTCAACTTATGAGCTCAGGTAAATTTTAAGAAAAAGGAATTACTTATGAAGTAATTACTTAAAGGAGCAGAGTTTCTAGGGAAATAATTATTTTACATGCAGTTCTGGTTTGTCTGTATTGGTGAGATCTAGGACATAGCTGAAAAAAGTGAGTATTCTTTCAAAAAAGAGAATCAATGAAGACTTTCATGTGAACAAGTCCTCTTTTTTTTGTGCAATTAAAAAGAAGCTCACGACTTCACCTGAGGCTTTCACAGCCTTATGTTTGAGCCAGCCCCTTTATGATAACTTGTACTAATGTTCAGCTTGTCTTTCCCAGATGAGTACTCATTGTGGTTTCACCCCAGTTGGCAACTAAGTACCACACAGCCGCTTGCTCACCCTCCCCCTGCCCTGGGGGGATGGGGGAAAGAATCAGGGAAGAAAAAAAAAAAAAAAAAAAGAAATAAAACCCGTGGGTTGAGATACAGGCAGTTTAATAGGACAGCAGAGGAAGAGAAAATGATAATAATAACGATAAAAGAATATACAAAGCAAGTGATGCACAATGCAATTGCTCACCACCCACTGACCGATACCCAGCCCGTCTCTGAGCAGTGATCGCTGCCCCCTGGCCAACTCCCCGCAGCTTATACACTGAGCATGATGTCATATGGTGTGGAATAGCCCTTTAGGCAGTTTGGGTCAGCTGTCCTGGCTGTGCCCCCTCCCAGCTTCTTGTGCACCTGGCAGAGCATGGGAAGCTGAAAAGTCCTTGACTAGCATAAGCAGTACTTAGCAACAACTAAAACATCAGTGTGTTAGCAACATTATTCTCATACTAAATCCAAAACACAGCACTATACCAGCTAGTGCAAAAAAAATTAACTCTATCCCAGCTGAAACCAGGACAGTACTCAAATGTCTCTGCACTGAACACTTCTTCCTCCAGACCTCGCAGTTATTTCTTCTCTTGCCTGAAGTGCCTTTGACATCTTCAGAGCTTGAATTGAGAAAACAAAAGCACACTTAAAGGAAGTGACCCATAAAAGGAAAGATCTTTGGACCTTAAAATAACAGGGGGCTAAATGTCTGTGTTTTGTCTTTCCATTTGCTTTGAAGATCATTCTTGCCTTTTATTCTCTGGGGGAAATGCTAACTGAAGTGAGAATGCATTGCCCTTTAGAAAGGCACTGCTATCACTCGTAATGAAAAGAATTTAGCTGAGAAACTCTCTGAGCTCTATGGAATCAGTTCCATACTCTTGAGAAGCAGTTTGGGAAAGCTGAAAGATAGCTTGCTGCAGAACCTACTGTTTCTCATCTGAAATTATGACAAAACCAAAAAGTATCACCTTAAGATCCACATAATTTCTCAGCTGATCTACGAGTATAGTTTAAAAAAAAATTGATAAATCCACGAATTCTGGTTTTTATTGCAGCTTTTAATTTAGCCACATTGTTTACTGAAGGCTTTAGTGTTGTCTGTCAAACGTGATCTTCGGACCAAAATAACGCAAAAAGAAGGGGCGGGGGGAGCTGTCTTCTTTCCAAGTCTTTTTCCTATTCAACTGAGTATATTGTTCTTGCTGGAATATTCTTGCTCAACATAGGCTGGATTATTG